TTTTGAATTTTACTTTTTTAAAATACTTTTCACATGTTTATTTTCAGGCTGTTATCTTTTCTTTTAATGTTGTATTATTACTGTTTGCATTTCTTTATAAAATTATTTTGAGTAAATATATTTATGTAAGAATTTTCATTTCTATTCAATACTTTTCATTTTTTTATTTTCAGGCTGTTATCTTAACCTTAATCTAGTATTAATTACTGTTTGCATCAATTAAGAAAATTATTTTGTGTACACTTAAATATGTATGTACTATTGATTTGCTTCTCACTTGAATTTTTTTTTTGAACTATTCCATTTGTCTTTTTCAGGACGTTTATTTTCTTTAAAAAAAAGGTAACTATTAAATTTCATATTACAGTACAAGTATTAATTATAATTAAGACATTGATTAAATATTTGTTGGGTATCATTACTTTATAATTATATGCATGAAAGTCTGACTTTACTTTGGAATACATTTAAAAAAATCATTCCCCCCCACCCCTTTTTTTTTTTTTTTCAGAATATTTCAAATTCATCATTTCATACAGATAAGTGTTCATATTATTAGTATTAGTTAAACATTTATTGTCTATAATTTATTTACAAACTGACTTTGCACCATTTTTTTTGTTACATTACAGTGTAACTGTTTTGACTCAGTATTTGAATAATTTATTAATATTTCTATTTTTATATTTAGGTCCTTATATTTGAATAATTTATTAACAGTTCTATACTTCTTTTCAGGACGTATTAAGTAGTAGCACTGTTTTATCTCATGCAATTAGTTTATATTAATATTATGGTTTGATTTTATAAAAATAAAATTAAATTTTTCATTTCTTTTCAGGTATTTTTAAATCCCCTACAGAACATAAAATGCCTATAATCAAATTATAATTTTTATGTGATATTCTTATTACTTGAAAATGGAATAAACATGCAATTTTTTTTGTTTTTCATGTAAAGAAATAATAATTTTTCCAAAAAAAAGTGTTTTTTTTACCAAATTTTTTTTCACTTTCTCTGCAAAAATATTTTTTCAAAATAAATTTATCTTCTATAATGTGCAACTTTTGTTTTCATTGTGTTTTACATTGCATTGAGAGTGTGTGCTGAAAATTTGGTACCCTTATCTTTAAAAATAAAAAAGTTATGGGTCAAAAAGTGGAAAAAATTGAAAAGTGGGTCACAAGTTTTTGGGGTCAAATATATAGCATAAAAAAATTGACAAAAAAAATCATAACTCCAGTTCTATAAAAGATAGAAAGATAAAGTTGGTGTTGTTATAAAGCTTATGGCTAGCCCTTTAAAATGATGTATCATTCATGGCAATCGGACAATATTTAAATTTTGTGTCAAACTCCAGTTCTATAAAAGATAGAAAGATAAAGTTGGTGTTGTTATAAAGCTTATGGCTAGCCCTTTAAAATGATGTATCATTCATGGCAATCGGACAATATTTAAATTTTGTGTCAAAGTACCTACTTGATAACTGAAAAGACAATGAACTAAATAGGCCAACTGATATTTTTTTTCTTCCACCCTCGATCCAACTACGACTGTTATATGCTTAGGCTTAGGCTTAAGGTTTTCACTTAGCCCGGAGATTTAAAAAATAAAAATATTCATTTTTCCCCACACCAACTCCGAAGTCTTCCAAATTTATGAATTTGTTTTAATTTATTCAAAATAAATATATGAAGCAACAAAAACGAACTTTTAATTATTGTATTTAACGTAGGCTATTAAATTATATTGATAAACTGGACTACACAAAGTATACACAACACATGTAGCTTATGCCTACATGTGTATACGATACTGTCAAACAGAAGGGGCAGTAGCCACACTATTACATGTACAATACTTAGTAATAAAGTATGTCAAAAATTCTCTCCCCTGGAGTCTAAACCTAAAACTTGAGCCTCGTGAGAGCCATTTTATCGCAATTAATATTGTTTTCTTTGTTTTTCGAAAACTAGTTTCCTTTTCAACCGATTAAGGCGCCTAACTTTATAGAAAAGGTGTCATTTGCGTGATATACTAGTAATTATCTTTAAATAGGCTTAACATAATTTTAAATGGTTGACACTAGGACAATGGACCAGTTGCGTACATGAGGGGGGGGGTGGGGGAGACAAAAATGGGGGGATTGGGGGCATTCCCGGGTTGCAGTTTTGTTTCTTTTTATTATCATTATATAGGCTTATTTATTTTTTTTTCACTTATTCATACAGTAATTTAAGTGAGTGTGTGGGGGTGCGTAATTTTTGTATTTTTGAGGAGAGGAAGTCTTTCCCTACTTTCATATTTTTCTTAGGAGGGGTGGGGTAGGGGGGGGGGGGGGGGGGGGGAGACAAAAATGGGGGGATTGGGGGCATTCCCGGGTTGCAGTTTTGTTTCTTTTTATTATCATTATATAGGCTTATTTATTTTTTTTTCACTTATTCATACAGTAATTTAAGAGAGTGTGTGGGGGTGCGTAATTTTTGTATATTTGAGGAGAGAAAGTCTTTCCCTACTTTCATATTTTTCTTCTTCTTTCTGCTTGAAGATGATTTTCCCTCCTATCACCTCTCTTTTTCTTTTTGTGTGAACTCTATTCGCAGAAACATTAATTTCATGCCATGCTTTGCATTTTATGAAAAGCTGTTGATTTGATTCCAGTAAAAACACGACAGAGATCATTGCTACACAATTCTTGGGGGGTCTTCTTTGGTCCAATAATTTCTAAAGATAAAATAATAGTACCGTTTTTAATCTGGATCATTTTAAATAAGGAGAAGAAAAAAGAGAAGAAATGCTGCTGAAAAAAATCAATTTGTCATGTCATAAAATTAGAAGTGCCCTTCTGTTTACCATACTTTGACTTCAATTTACTCCAGGATGTTCATTGGATGTACACGTATTTTATTTGTGGTAGTCCTTTTGTTACCAAAGCATGGTGGTAAGAAAATATCAATACGTTGTCAGTAACTTCATTGTCTGAAGTTAATTAAATAGTGTTGTTTAAAAAAATATTTTTAAAAGATAATCAGAAGCGACACTGATTGGGAGACAAGGTGTGTGTGTGTGTGTGTGGGGGGGGGGGTGTCCGAAATGTGAGACTCATAAGGAGTAGGGGTGTTAAAATTGGGTCATAATTAATTTTGTTTTCGTAATAATGTGGATTCCCCCCTTTTAGAACTGTCTGATTATGAACATGTCCCCTAGTCTGATTAGGGTCTAGGACTAAAGGGAACTCTAAAAAATATAGTTTTCCAATTGATATGAACTTGCTTACTTAACACGCAGGTAAAGAATACGCACCAAATTACCAATATTCACATCAGGTTATCACTTTTTTATCATAGGCCTACTCAGTGGCGTCTACCTGATTGGTGGGAGCCAACCCCCCCCCCTCCTCATGGACCATGGTCAATATTGTATGTATTGGCTTGCAATGTTTCTTTCAGGGTTGGGGTGGCATTTCAGATATTTTTAAGTGCAAACCGCGCCCATTCCAGGGGGGGGGGACTGCATTTGGCCTAAAGAAGAAAAGTATCGCCCTGGGCAGACCACCCTCCCCGCACATATACCCCTTTTTACGCCACTGTGACCAAAATGGATTATTGCCTACATTTTGCACAATCTATAGGGTATATAATTATATACAGAGGGGTATCAAGGGTGCAACTTAAAGGGACCCCGGCGCAAAATCGACCAGCTGAAAAAAAATTATTTTTTTATTTTAAAACAAAAAAACATTTTTCCTTATCAGTTTATCTGTAAGCCTAATGAATAAGGTAATATACTGCTAACTTACCTGCCCACTCTACTGCGTAATACTAGAGCAGTGGTCCCCAAACTTTTAAATTTGGAGGACCGGTGAACAAGTTTCGAAATTTTACCAGGGACCGGTGCATGATTTATTTTTATACTTTTATTTCTATTTGACAATAAATATTTATGTTATGGGGACCGGCAGCGTTAGGCATGCGGACCGGTGAAGGTCCACGGACCGCCGTTTGGGGACCACTGTACTAGAGGGTCAATATTAATTATATAACCCCCCCCCCCCTAGTTTCTCAAAGCTTGATATAGGCATGCAATTTTTGTTCTTCCCGTGGGTGCCATTCGTCATCGGTACCCCTCTAAATTAAATAAATTATGCAAATTATAAGTAAAAAAATTTTTTTTTAAAAACTTTACAGAATCACTAGTTAACATCACAATAAACCCACTGCATGTTGATGAGGGTCTTACGGAATCCTTCACAGCACACTGCACGTTTGACCCCTTGCGGGGAACACTGGTCACCTTAACCATCTCTCGAGCCAACGATTCGTCCCGTGTCTTCGTAGACTTGGCTTCGATCAACAGATTTTCGAATACGTCTTTTGACATAATATCGAAAATAGAAAACTATACCGTGACTAGTGATTTCAACGCAACCGGTTTGTCTCGTTTACAGCTCCGTTGGGTAAATCCAACACAGGAGCAAAGTGGGGCCTATAAATGTTCAGCCGCGGAGCTTAGCGATGCAGGACAGATTACCTTGGAAGAGAACGCTGTCACGTTGACAGTGGGCAAACCTGGTGCCGGTCAGCTCACAAATAAGCTGAAACAGATGAACGCGCTTCTGAAAAGTTACGAGGAAAGACTGACTTTGCTGGCAGAAAATGTACTCGACCTGACTAAAAATATGACCGTTTTGTCTGAAAACTATAAAGTGAACGCAGACCAGCTCGATCGCCTGAAATCAATGTTTTTTGTCGAGTCGATTCGTTTCAACGATACCGAGTACTTGTTATCAAGGGACAACTTCGGAAGTGCCAATGTTTTGGCAATAATTTGCAACATGTACCGAGGATATCTGGTCGAATTCGATGACGCGGAGGAGTTCGACGCGCTCACTTCTCTCATAGAAAATGCTACCGAATTCAGTAACGTTTACGTTGGAGGGAGCGATCTCATGCACGAAGATCAATGGGTGATGGAGTCCACGGGGCAGAATATGACGTGGTCCAATTGGTACCCAGGGGAACCCGACTCTGGTACAGGGGCTGACTGTATAAGAATTTACCAAATCTTCGACTGGCAAATGGTTGACACTGAATGTTTTAGCCACGATATTCAGTATAGATTTATCTGCGAAGTCCCTTTAAAAAAGCTGCGTCTATCTAATTCTTAAATCAAGAGTGAGGTTAGTTCTATTCCTTGAAACAAAAAAATTAATGCCAATTTTTAGATTTCAACAGCTTTCTTTTGACATTTATATGACTAATGGTGTAACTTTAATACCAATTTTGAGGCAACGTGTCAATTTTTACAAATATTTATTTTTTGTTTTAAAAATTGGATAACTTATTACACGAATAAATAATTTTTCTCCTGTTATCTGTCCAACAATGTTAGGCACAACTTTAACTACCGGTACCTAGGGTTTTAATTTAGTTTTTAATTCACCAGTGGAATTATACCCGAGTCTGGACAGGCAGACATTTTGAGAATAATTATAATTTCTTTCCCCTTTTTATAGCACAAAACGAAGCAACATGTTAAAACAAACATCAGTGGCGTAGCTAAGGTTAGTGCCATCCGGGGCGTGCCAATTATATAAAAAAAAAAAACAACAACAACACTCTGCAATTGAGAGATAATGCCCCTTAATATAAAATATAAGAAAAAAGTGCCACCGCGGCGGACCAGCCCCTCCACATCCCTTTCCTATGCCACTGACATGCATAAATTAAGTTATTAACTAACAGTAGAAAAAAAAATCGATTGTCGAAAAATTGTTGATCTATGCACCTCAAGTCCACTCACAGAACTGTTAAAGCTTTGAAAAATGGTACTTACTTAAAACTTATGGCCCTTCGAGTTCTCCACCACACTTCAAATAAAGATAGGTTATCAAATTTATAATAATAAATAATAAAAAATTTTATTTAAAAAACACTCTTCATCCTCAAATTCTCGAAGCGCTGTACAAAAAAAAAAAAAAAAAAAAAAAAAAATATATATATAATTTACCACATTAAAAACAAACGCAACACTACAAAAACTAAATTAAAATGTGTCATGAAAAAGAAAAAAAAAACACTAATGCTTTCAAGTTTTTGTATTTTTTGTATTTGATTTTTTATTATTTTTGATAAAAAAATGTTTAATTGTTTTTACAAACTAATTTTATGTCACTACAATCGATCTGTAACCATGACAACCAACATAAAACATAAATAGTGCAGTATCAAAATTATAGTTAGTTTACTAACGAAAGAAACAAATAAATGAAAAACGGCACACATCCAAACAATTCTTACATAACTCATCCAAAGTAATAACGTATCCCAAAACAATTCTACTTTCTAAATCATGTATTTAAACAAAAAATCTAGAATCACATCATGACATAATAAAACAGTGATTACAATACATTTGGATTTTTAAATACAACGTGTTTTTGAATAAACATTGGGTTGAGGATATGATACACAATAGGTACCCCCCCCCCACCCCCACCCTCCAAAAAAATTAAGTAGACAACTGATAAAAATACATATAACTATTAGCTGAGAAGTAAGTTTAACAGCATAGTGTAGACAGTGCTGTTAGTTGTCCTCATATATTTAAGGGCCCCAGAGTTTTGATGTGGAAAAAATTTAATTATCAACTTAAAAAGGGGAACAAAAGCAAAAAGTGAGAGAGGGTGCCTCCAAAAGTCACGTGACAGCTTTGAGTGAAGCCCTGCCATTAAATCTAAACAGTGACAGGGTTTGCATAAAGCATCCCTTTACATTAATTACTATGTATAAGGAGTACATGACTACATTTCTAGAGCTCAGAATGACTTTCAGGAATTTGAATTTATTTTCACAAGTTGAATTAATTAATGGAAATTAAAAAAAAAAAAGACTGCTCTAAGTTTATTATTTTTTTTACATCTCAATAGAATCAAATAAATGAATACACTGTTGAGAATGATAATGTGGGAGATAGCACACTTTATAATTACTGCTCAGTTTTAATTAGTATCACAGTAACAAAAAACAAAAACAGATTTTCATTCAAATGCCATTCCAAGATAAAAAAATACATTATCCATCAAAATTCAGTACAAATGTTGACAAGAGCTTACTTTAAAAAAAATTACCTTTTCATATTGTGAATGTGATGGTATATCCTCACTGATGCTTACATACTATTCAATTTTAATTGTATACAGGAATAAAAACAAAGTTATCTTTTTTCAAACATACATAAATATATTTATATATATATATAAATGAGGTAGACACAAAATGGAAACGTTTTGGAAATATTGCCATATAAATTATAAATAGTTTTTCTGCTATTAAATTAAAATTAAAGGTTTTTCATTAATATTTACTGCTTTTTATTGATACTTTTTTTAAAATCATGTTTGTTTGGAAAAAATGCATTATCAAAGTATTTAAATTATCAGGTAACATTTCTTGCTTTTTAGTTTACAGTTGGTTAATTTTTAAACCATGTAATTTCTTGTAGCGTGGAATAACCCGAGAGCATTGAAATTAATTTGGGTTTTATTTATATAGAGAAACAAATATGTTAATACTTAAAACTGAATGTTAATTAAGAGTTAATATTCATTAATTATAAGAGGAAGTGTTAATTTTTTTCATGTGGACCTCACATGTAAAATTAAAATTATGGCACTAATTAATCTAATTGAAGAAAATACTAGGCTATACAAATATTTAATAAATTCAGGGTAATAAAGTTAAGTAGTTAGAATTAAAGTATTTCAGTTCCTGCCTTGTATAAGCTCTGAAATTTTACATTCTTGATTAATTCTAACCCTCTTTAGCTATATATTATGTGTGTGTCAAATTTAAAAATTAACATAATTTATAAATTAATGGTTTTGTTAAAAAACATAAGCATTTTTATCATACAGGTACAGAAAAAATATATTCAATGAAATATTTTTTTTTAAAGCTGGATAGAATTAGGTAATTTTTCATGAATGTTTTTAAAGATTATAATTTTTTTTTTCATTGATAACAGATCTGTTTCTAAATTTAAATTGAGATCTACACAAAAAACATCTTTGAGATACATTGCATTTTAATATTTGAATTATCTCATTGGTTACCAACAATATTTCCTTTTGAAGCTTGTAGCAAAAAGTAAACACTGAAATATTATTAAATGAATTACTTCACATATCAAATCAACTTATCTGCTATGAAGAGTTTTGGTGAAATGTAAGTAATAATTTTAAAGATTAACTTATTCTCCTTAAAAAAATAACACAATATGTTGAACAGTTGATGTGTCTTAAACAATGAAATGAATGTTAAATACCAATGATAATTGAATAAAATTCATATCATATGAGGTAGTCATTGAGGGGACTAATTCATGCTCATTTGGTGCTAAGACTCCTTTTCTTTCTCAAAGTTATATGCAGCTTTCCCTTTCTTAAGCTCATTAACACATCTTTATAAAAATAAAATCCCAGAAAAACCAGACTTAGGTAAACACAAATAAATTTCAAGTTCAAATGTGTTGACATAATTGTAAGTACCAGTATTTCCTTGAAGGTAGCAGAACAATTTTTTTTATAAAAATATTAAAGCAAGAAATATCTGGGTTTCTTTCCATAAAAATTTTAAACATACCAAAAAACGTAGCATGTAGATAAAAGAATTAGATGATTTTCATTTTCAATCTAGGGAACCACAATATTCAAAATACATATTCTTTGAAAATTGAATAAAGGCATAAAAAATTGATTTTCTATAATTGTGGGAACATTAATCTTCAATGTGTGATCTAAGTAAAATAGTTTATTCAACAGTAAAAAAAAACCACACTATACTCAAACCTGAGTTTGCTGTATAAAATAAATGTAATTGTTTTAAACATTTGTTTACAGAAGAACATGTCTTTATCAACATGCTTTTGAAGCACCAAATGAAGGGTCCATAAGGTATTAAAAAAATTATAGATGTACATTGACTTAATTTTAAAATACTTATTTATGTCAAATATTATTATTTATAAATTAAACCTAAAAAAAGTATACACAATACATAAACATGCAACAGTGATTATTTTAAATGAACATCCAAAAAAAATATAAAAAATTCAAATAACACTACTTAGGCCTAATTTAAAAACCTTTACTATAAAATGCTTTTGTCAATACATTTCAACAGGCATAAATATGTATTTCAATATGAACCAAATGCCACAATTGCTATCAATTTTTTAAAAATAGAATAGCTACTTTTAAAGAAAGGAAATTATTTTTTTAAAGACAATGTAAATAATTTAATTGACACTTATAATTGATGCCTTGTCTTCAACCATTTTTAAAAATCTAACTAAATCTAAAAATTAAAAGATCTGAGACACATGGTAAAATCTTAAAACTGAACATTTGCTAATTCTCAAAGGAGCAGAATAAAGCAAAGTAAGATTATGTAAAATTAAATAAGTTAAATAATGCCTATTGCTTTATGCATTTCAAAACTTGCATATGCTTGTAAAGCTTCATGTACTATTCATATGTGTTGAGTATCTCCAACCAAACCTGTAGTGAACCCCACTTCTCCCTTACACAAAGACCAAGCCCATGTGTTGTATTACTTTTAATTTAAGTAAATAATTTAAATTTCTTTGAAGGATAATTAATGAAGGACTGCGCTCAAGTCTCAAGTCGTGTGAAGGAAATAGAATGTCAGTGGAAGCTTGAAATAGAAAGACAGGAAAATTAAAAGAAGAACTTTTCAGCTAAGAGCCTTCCTCAGCAGGTATTTAAAAACCTAAGTGTTGTCATTATCTTGTTAATACCGGAAGTTGGGTTTTGGAAAACCAAGATTACAGGAAGTTATTTTTAAAACAGGATTATTCAAATAATTTTTTTCCCCTTTTAAAATCTTTTGCGCCCGTCCCACCCCTCCTCCCCACCTTCTTTTCCCATTCTGTGCCAATGTCCAATAGTATGCAATAGTTAAAAATGAATACTGGTAGTAAATTTATATTTTTAAAAACTCAATGCAGCAACAAAAAAAAATGGCATCTGGTTGCTCACTTTTCAATATGTAAATTTTCTAGACCATGGGTATACTACTATGTAACCAATAACAAAATTCAGTAGATCCATAGAAACACATTTTAAAATTAAAAACATTCATTTAG